TATATATTAATTTTTTTTCTTTTCCCTTCCTTTTCTCCTTTCTCTCATCTGTTTCGCTTTCATTTTGAACAGTTTCTTCTCATTTCAAAATATCTATTATATATTTTGGATTTTATTTCTTTCAGCTTCTTACACTAGAGAGACAATACGATCTTTATATGTGTCTGAATTATTTTACTTATGTGTATAATATAGTCTCAAGTTGCGTTCATTTACCTATAAAAGTCTCAGGTTTATTCCTCCTTATGGCTTAGTAGTATTCCATTGTATAAAATATCACATCTTTTTTATCCGTTCCTTGGTTGATGGGCATTTGAGTTATTTCCAAGTTTTAGCTATTACAAGTTGTGCTGCTGTAAACATGGGTGCACGTGTATTGCTATGGAATAATGTTCTTAATTCTTTTGGGAAGATACCCACAGAGGGAATAACTGGGTCAAATGGGAACTCCAATCCTAGTTTTTTGAGGACGCTCCACACTGATTTCTGCAGTGGTTGTACCAATTTACACTTCCACCCACAGTGGAAAACGGTTCCTTTTTCCCTACAACCTCTCCAGCATTTTCTCTTGGTTGATTTCTTGATGGTAGCCATTCTTTCTGGGATGAGGTAGAATCTCAGTGTTGTCTAATTAGCATCTCTTGAATGATCAATGATGCTGAACATTTTTTCAGTTATTTATTTACTATTTGTATTTCATCTGAGAAATGTATATTCATCTCAGATGCCCATTTTTGGATTGAGTCTTTGAATTTGGAGGAGTCTGATTTTTTTCAATCCTTTAGATACTTTTTTTGTCTGAGAGATAGTTGGCTAAAGTTTTTTCTCAGTCTATGGATTGTCTTTTCACTCGTTGGTGATTTCTTTTGATATGCAAAAGCTATTTAATATGATGAGATCTCAGTTGTTGATTCTTTGAAGTACTTCCCTATGCAGTTTAGGTTTTATTCATGAACTCTTTCTCTATACTTATGTCTTTGAGATTTCTACCTACTTGCTCTTCCAGTAGATTTACTGTTTCTGTCTTAATATTTAGATCTCTGATCCATTTTGACTTTAGTTAGTACACAGTGCTAGACATAGGTCTAGTTTTAGTCTTTGGCATGTAGAGAGTCAGTTTTTCCAGCACTGTTTATTAAAGAGGCTGTCTTTCTTCCAGTGAACATGTTTGGCCCTTTTACCAAAGATAAGGTGACTAAGTGTGTTTGTAGTTGTATCTCCATCTTTTAATCTGTTGCACTGATCCTCAGGTCTTTTTTTTTTTTTCCAGTACTATGCTGATTTTGTCACAGTAGCTTTGTAGTATAATTTCAAGTCAGAGACTGTGATGCCTTTTGCCATGCCTTTGTTGCACAGAATTGCTTTTCTACTCTAGGTCTCTTTTGTTTCCAAATGAATTTTAGGAATCTTTTCTGTAATTTTGTGATGTGTACTAATGGTATTTTTTTTTATCAGGATTGCATTAAATCTCTATAACATTTTGGGAGTATGGTCATTTTCACAATATTGGTTCTTCCTATCCATGAGCAAGGGACATCTTTCCATTTTCTGATATCCTCTCATTTCCCTTTTTTAGAGCACTGTAATTTACATTGGTTAATTCTTTTACTTCCTTTGTTAGATCGATTCCTAAGTATTTCAATTTTTTTATGCTATTGTGAAGGGTGTAGTTTCTTTAATGTTTCTCTCAGTGAGTTGTTTGTATACAGAAATGCTATCAATTTTTTAGCATTGACTTAGTATCCAATTATACAGCTGAATTTGGTTATTAAATCTAGAAATTTTGGTGAAGTTTTTTCGGTTTTCTATGTAGAATATGTCATCTGCAAATAATGATAATTTAACTTCTTCCTTTCCTATCCTTGCTCTTTTTATTTCTTTCTCTTGTCTAATTGCTCTAGCTAATGTTTCCAGAACTATATTGAATAGGTGTGGTGACACTGGACATCTTTGTATTGTATTGATTGATTTTAGAGTGAAAGGTTTCAGGTTTTCGTTCATTTAGTATGATATTGGCTGTTGGTTTGTCATGGATGGCTTTTATCAGATTGAGATAAAGACCATCCAGTCCAAATTTTTCTGTAGGTTTTTTTTTTTTTAATCATGAATGAATGTTGCACTTTGTCAAGAGCATTTTCTACTCCTATTGAGATGATTATGTGATTTTTGTCTTTGGCTCTATTAATATGGTGTATTACGTCTGTTGATTTGTGTATGTTGAACCATCCGTGCATTCCTGGGATGAATCCTACTTGGTTATGTTGTATAATCTTTTTGATAATTTGCTTCTGTTTGCTAGTATTTTATTGAGGATTTTCACAGCTGTCTTCATTAGGGAGATTGACCTGTTTGCTTTTTTTTGTTTGGGTTTTCCTCTGGTTTTGTATTAGGGTAATACTTGCTTTCAGGAACAAGTTAGGGAGTATTGCTTTCTTTCATTGAAATGCTGAGGAGTATTAGCATTAAATCTTTTCTAAGTTTCTTGTAGAATTCAGCATTGAATCTGTCAGGACCTGGGCTTTTCTTTGTTGGTAAGTTTTCAGTTACATTTTCAATCTCATTAACTGGTATTGGGTTATTCCAAATTTTTATATCTTCTTGATTCAACCTTGGTAATTCATACATATCTAGGAATCTGTCCATTTCTTCTGTGTTTTCCATTCTATAGAGTAAAGATTTTCAAAGTATGTATTGGTGATGTTCATAATTTCCACAAGCTCTGTAGTGCTCTGGCCCTTGTTATTCCTCAAAACATGAATTTGAGTCTTTCCTTTCCTTTTTTTTTTTTTTTTTTGGTAAGGTTGACTAAGGGCTTATCAACTGTATTCTGTCGAAGAACCAACTCTGATTCATTATTTCTTTGTATTGTGTTCTTAGCCTCCACTGTGTTAATTTGTGCTCTGATCTTTATAATTTCTTCCCTCCTATGGGAGGAGGCTTGTCTTGATCTTATTTTTATCAAAGTTTGAGGTACAACATTATGTTGTTTATTTGTGCTTGTTCTGTTTTTCTGATGCGAGAATTCTCTGCTATAAATTTCCTCTTAGTAGTTGCATCTGATAAGTTGTGGTATAGTGTATCTGTGTTCTTGTGTAGTTATAGATGTTGTTTAATTTCTTCCTTAATTTTTCTGTGATCCATGTGTTGTTTAGAAAGATGTTAATTTCCATGTGTTTTTGGACTTTTTGCAGTGTCTTTTGCCATTAATATCCAATTTCATTGCACTGTAGCCAGATAATACACATGGGATAATTTCAATTCCTTTGCATTTACTTAGGCATGTTCTGTGGGCTATTATATGGTCCATCCTGGTCCATAGCTTGTCTTCTATGGTGTCTGGGCTTGCCTTTTGTGTCTACATTTTGTCATTTTCTATTTTTACATTTTTATTTTATTTTGTATTTTGAGGCTTGCCAATTTCTTATGATAGGGTTATCACTAATGTTGCTGCTTCCTTAGGAGATATCTATTCTTCAGGGATGTCCTCTAGATGTAGGCAGTTCTTTATTGCTATCCCAAGATTCTATACTCCCAATTTGTAAAGGATACAGTTACAATTTGGTTCAATAACCAATCCTTTGGTACTGGGCTGTGGTGATGATCATGACCCCTTACAATCCAGTGTTATCATATAGGGGAGAAAAACTGATACGGTAACCATTAACCTGCTACCTCCAACCACGAGAGCAAATGTTCAAATTACATAACAAAGTCACGCATACAGCATGGACTTATTTATATTCAGCGGTTTTTCTCCTTAGTGCAGTTTTTACCCGTGTGATGGGAGCGCCGAGATTAAGATGGATAGAGACAGGATAAAGTGATGAGTGGGGTCAGCGACAGTAGAGTCCAGGCTGGAGGTCCAAGAGTGATCACCTGAGTTTTGAGAAACTGGAGAACACAGGAGGGAAAGAATGAATAAAATGTGGGTGAGTAATCAGAAAGGGAAGAGACAAAGCTTACTCACTTGAAAGTTTAAATTCAAGAAGTAGTTGAGGAAACAGAGAAAGAGGATCAACAGAACAGAAAAGAAAGGTAAGAACCTAAACAGTGAAAAAAGAAGGAAGAGACGGAGAATGAAAAAGAGAAGAATGAGAGAAAATAGACCAGAGAAAGGAGAAAAGGGTGGGGAAAAGCCCCAAAACAAAAGACAGTAATCCAACCAGACAGGAAAGGGCTAGCAATCAAACAAACCGGACAGAATAAAAGCAGTCGGATACCTCCAGTGTTCACAGTTCTGTGATAATGTCCATGTCAGATCCCAGAAATGTGCTGGGTGATGGCTGATCATGGCCTCTGGATGTGGGGGCGGTGCTGGTGGAGTCCTCCAGAACCCACGTGCTGGCTCCTGGCTTGCTGCTTCAGACAGTTCCGAGGTGCTGGTCTCCCCGATTACTCTGCCCTCCAAAGCCTGTGTGCCCCGAGGCACCTGTTCCCTTGGCTTTCCAGATTTGATTGGTCTGCCTGCCAAAGGCCTGTGTGTACCTGCATTTGCCCCCTTTATTAATTCCTGTTTCTATTGATTGCTTTACCTTCAGCTTCTTAATCTAGCAGATTGGCAATTAGAGTTAATTGTACTAACTTCAGTAGGCAACAGCACAGACAGTGCTTTTGATTTGTGTAAGTTTACTTCCTGCCGCCCCTGTGTAGATGTCCTGGCTCCCTCTGTGTACCTGTAAACTCTGCGATGGTGTACTTAATGTTCTATGTGCTGTTCTGCCTCCTCTCGTGCTTTCTTTGTTCTTAGACTTCTTTTTAGAAGAGAAGGTTCAGCTTTTCCCCCTGAGGATGTACTAACTACGGACCGCTGTATTTTAGAAAGCCTTTTAAGTAGTTAGAACTTTAAGATACTGAAGTCTAGGATAATTCATTCCATTAGGAAAAAGACAGTGTTTTCTTGGTGTCTCCTTATGACAAATACTTTCTCATTTCCTTTTTGGGGTAAGTACTGAATGGCAAGAAAATGACCAAAAGTAATTTCAATTTCTAATTATTAACAGATAAAGGAGCTGAAACATTCAAAGAAGCTAGAAATAACAGACATCAAACTGGAGGCAGCGAGAGCTAAGAGTGAGCTGGAAAGAGAAAGAAACAAGATTCAAAGTGAGCTGGATGGTAATGTATGATTTTCTTTGCTTTTTATTTTAAAGTATAAACTCATTATTAAAATAAATCAACCTGGATACTTATTTCTACATTCTTAGTTGAAACTGAATTTTTGAGTACATATAGAATGCTTATGTGTTCTGTGATTTGTTTATTCTGTGATCTTTCTTTTAAGAAAATCAGCTCTGTTTTTAAATAAGTTATTTGATAAGAAATTAAGTGGAATTTTACAAGGATGGGGTTCTATCCTTCCTGGCCTTATAATGTTAAATCTAGCATGTGATTGCTAGTTCTAGGACATTTTAATTCCGTAGAATAAGGAGGATAAATGTGTTCCAGGCTTCATTTTTTTTTCCTTTTTAAATGTAAACACGATTATTGGAGAAAACCTCCATATAGGCTTATTTAGTCGGCAAAAGCTCCTTCTTAGTCTCAGACTGTCTCATTAAGGTTTCTCAGAATTTACATTGTTTTTAAGTTATTTAGGTAAGCTGTCTGTGGGCTGTAACTGAGCTGAGTTGATCTGTAGTTTAACTGGCCTCTGTACTTGAGGAGCTTATGTTGAATGATTATATTTATTAATTTTTATTTAATAGTGACTCATGGGTTTCTACAGTTAAGGGAGTACAAGTTCTTAGAGACCTTCGTATCTCGTGCTACTTTGAATTAAACATGAATCTGCTTTAGTTATCCCAGCTGCACAGCGTTTGTGGTTTCATCACAGGGAAGATTTGTGAATCCATTAGAAGCTTCTCCTAGAGTCACAGGTTTTGAAGTGTTGGGTGATTTTCTTTACTTTGTTGCCAGCCAGTTTTGTCATCATGTTCTTGGGGCGTGGTTCACAGAACCCCTGGAGGTGAAGTAAGCCGGCGTCTTTGGGTTTACCCAGGCTGGGCCTTCCAGCTCTCAAGATGGACGCGAATAAATGTATATAAGTCTTTAAAAAGTTTGTGTATATTATGTGCTAAAATAATGACAGAGAAATTAATTTTTTGACTTTTAGTGTATTTTGGCCTTATTTTAAGTAGTTCATCACTGATCTAAGGATCTTTGAGAATACATTTGTCAAGAGACTTTCTAAATTTTTTCTTTTACCTACTGAAGAAGGCTTGCTTGTCATGATTTTTTCATCTTAAAAATATTGAATGTAGCACATTTTTTTCTCCTTAAAAATCCTAGGGCTACAGTCAGACAATGAAATTCTCAAATCAGCTGTTGAACACCACAAAACGCTCTTAGTAGAAAAAGATCGTGAGTTAGTACGTAAAGTACAAGCTGCCAAGGAAGAAGGTTATCAGAAGCTTGTGGTATTACAAGATGAAAAGTAAGTACTGTGTTACCTTAGGTTACAGCTCCGTGCACGTGCAAACAGTTCACTGTCATGCCTTCATTGTCTTTGTGGTAACATACTTCTTACCTGTTGTTTTAGGCTGGAGCTTGAGAACAGATTAGCAGATTTAGAGAAAATGAAAGTGGAGCACGATATTTGGAGGCAATCTGAGAAGGATCAGCACGAGGAGAAACTGCGGGCTTCACAGATGGCAGAGGAGGCGGCCCGAAGGGAACTTCAGAGTATTAGGTCATCTATACAGATTGATTTTTGGTTTTGAAATAGTGTCAAAGTAACAATAATTGTGTGAATGTAGCCCAGAGAATCTTCATACACTTTATCTTGAGTTCACAAGTGTTAACATTTTACGTACATATTAACACTTTTACAGCTTAGTTACTTTATAAAATATTCCTTAGGTTGAGTTTATAACACATTACTTGTGAATGGATTCATGTTATGTATTTTGAGCAAAAGTAAAAGCAGAGTCACGCATAGTCGTCAGGGCTTCACGTCAGGAAGTTCATCATTTTCCCACTAGCTGGTGATGTTAACCTTGATTGCTTGGTTAAAATGTCATCAGATTTTTCCAGTATAAAATTACTATTTTTTTCTTCTCTAAGTCAATCTACGTTAAGGTTCCCAGTATGACTCTTGGAGACTACATGAACGTTTTCATCATACTTTCTGACCAAATAGTCTTCCTTGAAATGTTTAGCATCCACTTTCCTCAAACAACTGTGTTCTAGTGTTTGTCAAATAGTGATTTTCGTATTTGTTTTTATCATTCTTCTGTATTTATTGGTTGGAGTTCTGAATGGAAGACCTTTCATTTCTCCTGTAAACACTGTATTTCTACATATATGGGCTAACACTGTTGTTTTCTTCTATAGATTATAATATGGTAAAACCTTGGTTTGCAAGCATAATTCATACTGGAAGCATGCTGTAACCCAAATCGCTTGTTACTTCAAAGTGAGTTTTCCCATAAGAAATAATAGAAACTCAAATGATTCATTCCACAATCCAAAAGTATTCATATAAAAGCAATTATAGAACTGTAATATAAAATAATAAAGAAAAATAAATTAACTTGCATTTATCTTTGAAAACTTGCATGGCTGTTGTGAAGAATGCAAGAGAGGAGGGTTATTGCATAGGATGACTTTCACTGTCATTAATGGAATCACTGCTGTCTGTTGGCTCAGTGGAATCTTTTTCTTTTTGTACAGCTTTAGCAAGGAACCTATCCATTGCTTTTGCCTCCTTTTGAGGATTTTGTGGAAATGTGACATTGCGTTGTCGTTAAAAGATTCATCACTTGCACCACTACAGCCTTACTCAGGTGGTGCACTTCTACAAAGTTTTGCCCTGTTTCCCTGATTTTACGCATCTCCCTAATCTCATTTGAAGGAGGGAGTCCTCTGCCCTTTTCTCCTCCTCTGCAATGTGATCTCCTCCATAACCACTTACTGTTGGGAGATGATCACCTACAACCCCACAGAGGTAGCAGGGAGAGAGAGAGAGAGAACCGTTGGCTGAGTTGTGATCATGTGATGTTTGATGTCATGTACTGCTTGTCTTGCAAGACATCATTATCAAATTAAAATCTACTAGCCATGTCTGCTGGCCTTGTGGAATACTCATAGAATAAGTTCCTTGCAGTCAAGGTTTTACTGTGTTGTAACTTACTATTGAAGTTGTCTCAGATTTGGGCATTGGAAGCTCTTTCAGGTTGACTCCTAGGACCTTTTGATGGAGTCCCACCATTTTTTGAGTATCTCTTTCTTTGCTGGCATCAAAAGATGTTCTTGGCCTCCCCGTAGTTGTTTCTCTAAGGTGCTTTGGTTCCTTTTTATTGGAGAATGGTGCAGGAAACAGAATCTCAGCTATAGGGATATTTATTATACTAGAAAGACATTGCTTATAGGCCCCCTCAGTGAACTGAAGAAAAAAGTGTTTTTGCATACACAAATACACATTTGTATCTATTTATTTTTCTGTATATATATATTTTAGCAATCATGTATTTGCAGTGCTCTTTCCAATTGCAGCCCAACACCGCAGAGTTCATTAAGCCTTCTCTTCCTATTTGTGACTCCTTTGATAATGAGAACTTTGGCTTTCTACTTGCTTCCTTAGCCCTAGGATGTACAAGTAGTTTTGAAATAGCTAATTGACAGCTCTGTGAAAAACTTCTTAGCTGTTGTGTAATACCTGTGTATTCTTTTAGTTTTTAGCCCTTGAGTGTATTAAAATACACTTAAGTGATTTAAAATACAATCTGAAAGTTACATAGGATTTTCCAGAATTACTTAGGGATTTTCTAATGTTCATTTGGATAGTTATTCACTTATAAAACAGCTTCACTTATCTATGTTTTATCCCCTTCTGAGCCTGCGTCTCATTTTTGTTGATGTTAGCAGATTTCACTATGTGTAACATCAGGTAGTTCTAAAGGACAGAATGATACAAAAATTATACTTCAAAGAATGCTATTTCCTGCATCTATTTGATCTATCCTGTTCTCATTTTCCCTTAATTATCTTATCCCCAGTTGGTAATCTAATGAGTTTCTTGTTTTATCTTTTCTATTCCCCCCACCCCCAGAAATGGCAGATGAATGTATATTTTGTTTTCCCTTCTTTCTTAGCACTGTGGTCAAAATTGCTTTAAGCATAATACCAAGTAGTTCATAGAGAGTAACCTCGTGCTGCATAACGTGCTGTTGTGTGTATGTACCAGTGGTTTATCCACTTTTCTATCTATGTTCAAGTGTTTAGTTTCCAATACTGTATTTTGTGATTACAACCAAAGCTGAAATCTATATGTATTTGCATATTGTTGGAAGTATATCTTAAGAGTAAATTCCTGAAGTGAATGTTAGTCACAAGGTAAATTTATAAACAGTTTGTTAGATATTATCAAATGTATTTCTAAGAATATTGTTCTGCTTTGCATCTCAGTATTGTTTAATTTGCATTTCTCTTATTATTAGTGAAATTGAATTACATTTCCTATGTTTAAGGCCACATGTTTATCTGTTGTGTTTGGTTTGTCCATGTCATTCTCAACTGTCTGTTGATTTCTGTTATCTTTTTCCCTTGTTTTTAAAGTGTTGTTTGTCTTTTGGAAATATGTTACAAATATTTTCTCCCTGTGTACCAGTTTTCATTTGACTTCTTGTATTATACTTGTTATGTAAAATATTTTATTATGTAATTCACATTACAAATCATTATTGCATTATTGCTTCCAGATGCTGAGTAGTAGTCTCCTTGCACTGAAGTTAAAGAGGAACCATGGTCTTACGCTTTTATGGCTTTATTTTTTGTATTTAGATCTTTGAGCTATTTAAAATGGGTATTTCTGTGGGCTGTGAGATATAGGTTTCATTTTACTTTTTTCTAAACAGCTAACCAATTATTCCAAACTTATTAAAACTAATTTTATTTATTCTAGTGATTCATGATGATGCTTTTGTTACATTTTAGCTTACATGTAACTCAAATGTGCAGAATTTTAATAATAGAGCGTTACAGTATATTTTAATGCCCATATATGCTTCTCCACCCTTGTAGTTTTTTTTTGTCTTTTTGTGTTTTCTGAGGTATTTTTGTGTTAGTTTTTTCATGTGTTCTTGAATATCAATGTCAAGCTTCATAAATTTGTCAATTTTATTGTGATTTCATTTAATTTTGTTCATTTTTGTGGTGCTGAAATGCATATAAAATTTTACCTTCTGAACCATGTTTAAGATACATAATTCACTGGCATTGGACGCAGTTCAGTATTGTGTGACCATCATTGCTGTCCATCTCTGCATCTCTGAAGCTCTTTTCATCTTACACAACTGAAGACTCTGTAGCCATGAAACAGTAACGGGCCATTGCATTAGCTTCTCAACCCTTGGCAACCACCACTCTGTTCCCTGTATGATTTCCAGTACTCCCAGTACCTGATGTAGTAGAATCATGTGATACTTGTCTTTTGCAGCCTTTAGGTAGCACGATAACCTCAGTGTTCATGTACTTTGCAGTATGTTTTAGAATTTCCTTCCTTGTAAGGCTGAATAATGTTCCAATGGATGTATGTTATTCATGTCAGTTATTCATGGATGATCACACCACATTTTAGTTCTCATGAATAACGTTACCATGAACACAGATATACAGACATCCTTGCTTTCTGTTATTTTGGATGTATACCCATAAGTAGAGTTGTTGCATTATATGGAAATTTTATTTTTAATTTTTAGAGGATTACACATATGTTTTCTAGGGTAGTTGGTATTATTTTATATTCCTACCAACAGGACACAAGTGTTATAATTTCTCTATAGCCTCACCAACACTTGTTATTTTCTGGATTATCTTAATCTTAAGCATCCTAATAGTATGTGGTATGATCTCACCATAACCTTGATTTGTAACCTCTTTAACAGCTAGTGATATTGAGCACAGCACCTTTCCATGCACTTACTAGCAAGCACTTGGAGAAGTCTGTTCAAATACTCTGCCCGTTTTTAAATCTGATTTCGTTGTTGTTATTGAGTTCTTTATATGTTTAGATATAAACCCCTTATTAGTTATATATGGTTTGCAAGTATTTTTCTCATTTGTATACTTTTTTAGTACTTATAATTATTTTTTGACGTGCATTTTCTAATTTGTGTGCTTAAGTTGTCTTTTGCTTTTCTTGCCTTTCTTTTGGCATCGTAGCCAAGAAATTATTGCCATATTCGGTCATAACTCTTTCCTGCCATATTTTAAGAGATTTATAGTGTTAACTGTTAAAACTTAGGCTCTTCATCCATTGGGGTTAAATTTTTTATTTGGTATTAGTAGTAAAGGTCCAGTTTCATTTCTTTACATATGGATATGCAGTTTTCTCCGCGTGATTTATTGAACAGAATTCCATTTTTTCTAGTGATGCTCTTGGTACCCTTAACTATAAAGAGAGGCTTGATCTCCAGTCTCTCTAGTCCAGTAGTGCTGAACATATGGTACATGTGTTATTTGTTTTTATTTTAAAACAAAAAATGTTTATGAGTCCCCTTCCTCAAAAAAAACCCCTAAAATCTCAGTATTATTCAGGTTTAATTGCAGTATTGAATGGGTTTTGGTTTACAGTTTGCAACTTTTTTTTTTTTTCTTTTTCCTTTTTATCGGTACCAGGGATCGAACTCACGACTGCCTGCTTGCAAAGCAGGCGCTTATGCCGCTGAGCTAAACCTCCAGCCCCCTGTT